CTGCATCACCACTGAAGGTTTAGAGTGGGCTCCCATGGGAGGACCCTGTGAGATTAGGCTCAGCAGGAAGTACTGCCCAGCATGACCAAGTGGTGGCTCCTCACAGTCCACTGATTGGTCAGTACCAGTACTTAAACCAGGAAGCCATGAACAACACAGACTGCCTGCCTGTCTCTGCTCCAGATACTGCTTGCAATAGACCCTAGATTCCAGCTTCTGACCCTGGTTTGGTTTGACCACAGAGCCTAGCCTAAGTAAAGGTCATAAACAGGTCCGTCCTAGACAAAGGAATGTGAGTTTACCTCAGTTTACATATTAGCAGTAAACAAAACCTTTGACCTAAAGCAGCTGGGGTTCTCCTGATCCTGAATTCAAGAGACAGAATTAACATGACTCCTGCGCCCCAGAGTGACGCAGGAAACTGAAACCCCAGAAGACATTCCTGTTTTGTAAGACACAGACAGCCCTTTGGTGATATGACTCCCATCTTTATCTTTCATTTTAGGAGACAAAGAAACCAAGTGAGTTGATCTCCATGATGGGTCCTGGCCAGGCTGGCCAGTAAAAGTGGAAAGAAGACTGTGTTACAACTGGACTGAGGGTGGTCGGACCTAGTGGCCAGAGCAGGAGTTGGGAGTCAGGCACCGGGTGGTCAGAGTCCAAGATAGGTCAGAGGGCAGACAGAGGTTCAGGCATTAAGAGGCAGGCAGGGTCAGGTTACTGGGAGGACAGAGTCCGAGACAGGCCAGATGGCAATCTGAAAGCCAGGTATCGGGAGGTGGGCAGGGTCAGGCACGAAGTTAGTTACAGAGAGCAGTTGAGGACAAACCAAACCAGGGTCAGAAGCTGGAATCTAGGGTCTATTGCAAGCAGTGTCTGGAGCAGAGTCAGGCAGGCAGTCTGTGTTGTTCGTGGCTTCCTGGTTTAAGTACTGGTACTGACCAATCGGTAGACTGTGAGGAGCCACCACTTGGTCATGCTGGGCAGTACTTCCTGCTGAGCCTAATCTCACAGGGTCCTCCCATGGGAGCCCACCCTAAACCTTCAGTGGTGATGCAGAGGTGTCAGCAGCCCAGAACCCCTATGGTCACAGGGTCCGGTCCTGCAGGTTCTTACATCACCCCCCATTTCGGGCAAGTGCTGGTTCAGGCTTGTCTGGGTGAGCCTTCTGGAATTCTTCCACCAGGTCAGGGGCGTGGACATGGGAGACAGACTCCCATGTGTGCTCTTTGGAGCCGTAGCCTTCCCAGTCCACCAGATAGTACAAACGGCCATGTGTCTGTCAGGAATCAAGGATGACATGTACTTCGTATTCCTTGTGACCTGGATTTCAACTGATGGAGGCAGTGGTGTGGTTCGGTTAGGGAAGGTGTGCTCAGTGTAGGGTTTCAGAAGGGAAACATGGAAAACTGGGTATATTTTGAGAGACTGGGAAAGCTAGAGTTTGAAGGTGACCGGCTGTGACCGAATGTACTCCTGTATTTATACCCTACCCACTATTGTAATAATCTTTGTACAAAATATGCCTTGTGGGGGTATCATTTGAAAATTAATAACTCACTAGTCAATAATATAATGGTGAAATCTATGTAGCAACATTATATGTAAAGTTCTGAATGCCCTTGTATGATGTTGTTAGCACATGTTTAAACCCATGTAGCCCTGATGAGACAGAAGTTGTTAAATAGGTCTATCTTAAACACCGAAATGTGTGTTTACCTCAGTTTACATATAAGTAGTAATCCGGGTCCTCAGGACAGCAAGAGGGGGTAAACTGGTTCCTTAGAGACAAAGGACAAGCTAACGCCTCTAGCCAGGTGTCATAGTTGATTGGCCATCGCCTGTCAAGTGGCAATTATTTGGCAACAAGGAGGGGGCGGGAACAGATTGATCTGCACTTTAGCAAGTAACAGCAAGAAACTTCTTTCACCATGAGACTCCATGTCTACATCCTCACAGTGGGAAGGAACTTTATCTAGGGGTAATCCTTAGGAGAATGCATGTCAAAGGGTGACTGGACTATAAAAGTGAGGATCAAAAACACCCCAGGTTATCTCTATCTTTCTTTCTTTCTTTCTTTCTCTCCCTCCCTCTCTCTCTTTCATCTAAGAAGACAAAGGAACCAGCCTTTTGACTTTGGGAGGGGACATGATCAGAGAATTTGGTCAGCAATGTTTCTGGGAACATGTGGTAAGGATTTTGCCTTGAACCAAGTCTAGTTTAACTTTTAGCTTCTAGAAAATACTTTATTTTTATGTCTCTTGTACTCATTTAATATCTGTTTGTAGTTAAATAAACTTGTTTTATTTTTTTAATCAGAAGTAATCCAGTGTTGTGTTTAAACTGAACTGTTTGGTAACTCCAATTAAGGTAGCAAACTGTTGCATATTGACCCCCTACAGGGGCCATGGACATCCAATCTCTGAATGCCCATGGGAGGGCTGGGCAGTGCAGAACACAGGTTTGGGGGGAAATTTGGGATTCAGAGTGTGTTGGGGTCACCCTGCAGGTAGTAACTAAGGCTGCTGGAAGCCAGAGTGTGGCTGGTGTGTTGCTGACAGCCTGGTGGGGTCAGAGTTGCTGGACTAGCTATACACAGACACTCAGGGAATGCTGGTTTGTGAGAGGTCCAGATTTAGAGCTACAACACCAAAGCATTGTGAGGAACCCAAGGTTGAGGGGCAGGAGGTGACACAACCCCTCACTGGTCTGGATTGCATCCTGAAACATGACACCAGGTTAATCTGCTGCCATATTGGGAAGGGTCCAAGGAACTGGTGGTCCAATTTGCGGGAGGGTCACCTGGTCTGGAGGTGTTTGGCGGCGAGCCACACTGGCATACCATAAATACTGGAGCTTCTTGTTGCTGATGGTTACGTGCCTCTTATAGGCCTTCACTTCTTAATCTAAGTGGTTTTTGAGCTCTTCCTCAATGAGGTGAATCTATTGGTTCCAGTCGGTAGCAGGTGGAAAGGGAGGTGGAATCCATAATTAGCAAAGAAGAAGCTCTGACCTGTGGAGGCATGGTTGGTGGTGGTGTAATAAAAATTTGGATATGGCGGGATCATGGACCAGTTGTCTTGATCTTAATTTACAAAGCATTTCAAATACTGCTTCAGTAGTTGGTTCACCCGTTCAGTTTGTCCATGTGTTTGGGGTTGGTATGCAGTGCAGGTAGATGTGTGGATGTCCAATAGCCTAAATCAGGGGTGGGCAAAGGGCCACATCTGGGTATGGATATTGTATGGAAATTACAGAGGTGGGGGGAGGGGGAGTCATGGGATGTGGCATGGCGGGGAGGGAGGGCCTCTACAGGGGTGGTACCAGGGACTCCTAGGGGCCCTGCCGGCAGTGACACCAAGGTGGCTGTACCAGGCACCGCCACAAGCAGAGGCACCCTAGCTGGGACGGGTGCGGCCCCATGACGGTTTCAAGAATCTCGAGGGTGGGGCTATAGGAGACCGGGAAGGTCCAGGCCGCGGTGATTGGCTGTTGAGGAATGAGGCGAGTCTCTCGGAGGAGCAGTGCCTCAGGGATTGGTCGATTTGAAGGAGGTTGTGGTTCCTAGTTGGACTCGATTAGGGGCAGTATCCCGTGATGCTGCTGGCCTTGATCGTTGGCCAGTTCTGGGCAGAGGCTGGCACTTCTGGGATTGGGCACGTAGGGGCAGGGTTCCGATCCCAGAAACAGCGTGGTGAAGAGTCTGGATAAGCAGTGCCGGCCGCGCCTGCGCAGTGTGACTCTGCATGCGGGAAGATGGTGCTCATCCAGGAATTGTGAGTCGGGGGCTGGGAAGCACTGGGCGGGTGGAGCGGGGCAAGCCCCCGACCCCGCTCCCTGGCTGGAGTGCCAGGCGGGTGGAGTGGGGCAAGCCTCTGACCCCACTCCCTGGTGGCAGCTTGAGGGCCAGATTAAAAGGTCTGACAGGGCGGACGCAGCCCACAGGCTGGAGTTTGCCCACCCCTAGCCTAAATGCTTCATACCAGAAGCAAGAGGTGAACTGTGAGCCTTGGTCAGAAATTATGTGGTTGGTAAACCCATGGAGCCATACCACATTGTGCAGTAGGAGGTGGGCGGTAGTCTCAGCAGAGAGTAGCTGGTTGCTGGGGATGAAATGGGCCATTTAGATCAGGAAGTCCACAAATGTTTGGCCGTCAGATGCTGCGAGTTCCACAGTAAAGTCTGTGGATCCATCTGGATTCACTCTGGGGAAATGATGTATTCCAAAAATTCAATGATGGGCCAGTTGAAGGTGCACTTTTCCGATTTGGTGTACAAACCAGGCTTCTGTAATCTTTATCCCTTTTTCTTGGTATCACTTAATCCATGTTCTTTTGCTAATAAACTTGTTTTGCTTTCATTATAAATCATCAGTATGTGCTATACAAGTTCAGAGAAGTGTGTGCTTCTAGAAAGCTAACAGGTTGGAGTGATTGACTGTCTCTGTAAAGGTAGTGAACCTAACACTTCTTCTGTGAGGGTCCAGTCAGAGGGACTGGTCCCTGCTGTCGGATGAGTTTGGGACGAATTCGTGGCTGGAATCATACCCAAAGTCAGCCTTCAAGGAGTAACCAGGTTGGGTAAAGCCAGGGTGAGGCTTGTGGGCTGCTGATAATCTGTTAGGGTCAGAGTTCTGGATGAAAGCTGCACAACCACAAGACACCCAGGGTTACCAGATGGTAACCAAACCCCTTACTGGCCTAGCTGAACCCCAAAATTTCACAAAAGTACAAACAGTAAAAGGAATTTCTAATTCAATCTATTGTTTCTATGAAAAAGCTTTTATCCATCCAGGATGCCTCATAGTGTTAAAAAAATTACAGTGGAAAACCATTTTACTTCTGTTTTTTGACTGCAAGCTGTTTTATAGTTCTTACATACTGTTGTCTTTATTTAATTGGATTTATTTGGCCAGACTACATTTTGATGCTGTTTGTAGCTATACATAGAATCTGATTATTACGTTTGATCTAGAATTCTGTCTTCCTTCACAGGATGAGATGCGGACAGAAGCTCGTCGAAAAAATCTTCTCATTCTAATTTTGCATTATTTAACAGCGGAAGGGTATGTTATCTAAACAAAAATACACTACAGTTGTTTGTTTATGTGTGTTTCTGGTCTTTCATGGTAATATGCACTTCTGCCCTCTAGTGGATGCAATGGAAGGCCTGCCCTGCTGGCATATAACATGGATATTTTACTTTTAAATTCATTTTATTTATTTCAATTTATGGAATAAAAATAAAAAGCTTGTATCTGGTGTTACTTAGAAATTTTTTACAATCATCTGTAAAGGCTTTTTTTTTACCTTGGGGTTGTGCCCTTTATGATATGTAACAAAGATCTGAAAGGTTTTTAAAAAAGCTTCCTCCATGTGTTTGCTACTAATACTAGGAATATCAAGTTAGGTCTTTTGGTTTTGCTGGAGAGGACAAGGACAACAGGGGAGGCTGAGGGTGGGCTTACATCAGGTATGTCAGCATTGAGCTGTCAGATTCTGTAATTGTTTTGTAGCATGAGACTTGTTGCACACATGCACAATTTCCATTACTTTTAATGGAAGTTACAGTAACACAGAAGGAGGTCCATATATGGGTTTTAAAAGGGTATAAATGTATTTAGTATGAAAGCGTAATGATATAATGGAGTAAATTTGGGACTGAGAATCAGGATTCTATGATTCTATGATTATCCTGACTTCCACCAATTTATTGTGTGACTTTGAACAAGCAATTGGGTAAAATTTTCTAAAGCTCTGGCCTTCCTTTTTCTGGTGTAATTTGCAGTTGCAAAAAATTGCCCCCTGCATTTTTACATTTGTATTTGAATTGAAGGTGCAAATCTTGGTTCTTCAGCTTTTAACTCTGTGATTTGCATTGAAGTGAGGTAATAAGTAGTATAGATTGTATGATTTGCACCTGGATTTGATTTTATGGGTGCAAAAGGGAAGGTACAAATTTGCCAGCCCGAGACACAGCCATTTTGAATATTTACCCCTTCATCTCTGCAGGCCTGATTCTGATCTCAGTTACAACAGTGTGAATCTTTATAGCTAGGAATTTATTCAAATACTGTTACTCTAGGTTTACACTGATGTAACTGACATCAGAATCTGGCCTGCATTTTACTGATGGGGAAACAGAGAGAGGACAAGTCTCTCTCAGAGGCATTATGAGGATTAATTGATTAATATTTGCACAATGGTTTGAAGATAAAGGGCCAGATATACCACACTGGTTATTCTTATTTGTTTTTAAATTAATTGATATAAGCTAATAATAATAATAATGAGGCAGGATGGTTAGGTGGACAGGATTCAATTCTGGATGTCAACAGAACTGGGTACTACTAGTCACAGCTGTGTTACTAATTTGCAATGTGATCTTATGTTGAACTTTTGGGAAGCACTTTGAGGCCTGTGAATGAAAAATGCTTATAATTGTTACTGGTTATTAGTTATGTGGGGTTGCCACCGTTTGAACTATAACACATTTCCTTGTATGCTATTTCTCTCAAAGAATTTTATAAAATAATGACATTCAGTTTTATGTTCTTTGCTCTTTTGAAATGACCAGGTATGTTGATGCTGCAAATGCTTTGGAACAAGAAACCCAATTAGCTTTACGCCGCTTTGAAGTTTGTGACAACGTTGATCTTGAGACTATTTTGATGGAATATGAAAGCTATTACTATGTAAAATTCCAAAAATACCCTAAAATTACCAAAAAGGCCCTAGACACTGGTACGTGGCTGTGTTCCAAAAAGAAAGCTTTTGAACTTCTGTTTCTCATAATTTTAAAAATATGTGAGCACTAAAATACCCAACACTTCTCAGACGTATCCTTATTTAATGTTGTTTTCTCTGTCCCCAAGCTCTCAAATGATTATAGAGCTAAAAGTCTAGTGGTTAGAACATGGGACTGGGATTCAGGAGACCTGGGATCTGTTTCCTTTTCTGCCTCTCACTTCTCTGTGCTTCAGTTTTCCTATCTGTATGAATGGGTATGATGATGATTATCCATCTTTTTTAAACAACTTTGAGATCTACAGGTAAAAGAATATCTAAGTGCAAAATATTATATAGATATTTTCTCATTTTTTTCCTCTTTGGGTAACAATATTAAGAATGCTCTACTTCTGATTTTATGAGAATGAGGTACAGAACCTTTAATCTCTGGACCACTGGTTCTAATCCAGGCTTTTGAGTGACCTCACATTCTGGGGTGTGTGTGTGTGTGTGTGTGTGTGTGTGTGTGTGTGTGTGTGTGTG